CTGCTGCTACTACTGCAGCTACTGCTACTGCTCCTGCTACTGCTTCTGCTACTGGTCCTGCACTACTACAACGCCACCTACTACTACTGCTACTACTACGACGGCACCTACTACTACTGCTACTACTTCTGCTACTGCTACTACTACGACGGCACCTACTACTTCTGCTACTACTGCTACTACTCCTACTACTGCTACTACTCCTCCTCCTCCTACTAGTAGTAGCAGTAGTAGCAGTAGCAGTAGCAGTAGCAGTAGTAGTAGTAGTAGTAGTAGTCGTCGTAGTCGTAGTAGTACTTGTAGTACTAGTAGTACTAGTAGTACTAGTAGTACTAGTCGTACTAGTCGTACTAGTCGTACCAGTAGTACTAGTAGTACTAGTCGTACTAGTAGTAGTAGTAGTAGTAGTAGTAGTAGTAGTAGTCTTAGTAGTAGTAGTCTTAGTAGTAGTAGCTTTAGTAGTAGTAGTAGTAGTAGTAGTAGTAGTAGTAGTGCTGCTTCTGCTGTTTCTGCCTACACTCCTTTCTGCAGCTGCTGCTGTTGCGACGACGACAACAACAACTACAACTACAATTACTACAACTACAACTATTGTTGGGTAATCCCGTCCAATGCTATCTGCATGGCACTCGCAATCACTGCAGCATCGCGATGGTAGACAAACAAATCAGCAACTAGATGGTCATCTGAAAGATACATGCTTATACTGTTCAGCCGTTACTTTTAGTAGAATTCGTCGTGTGCTGCGCCATTTTCTTCGTCGTCGGTGTCGTTAACATCTTGGATGTCGGTGTCGGCGCCAGATCTTCATGATCAGGATCGTCGGCAGTGCTGTGGTCGTCGTCATCGCCGACGCTGATCTCTCACATTGCTTCTTGTTATTCTTATGATCAGAAATGGCCGGGAGTCCTCTTGGAGTAGTCGCCAAAGCAGTTGGCGCAGCAACGACCACTGCTCATCAACCACTGCTGACATAGCCTGCCAATGAAACGCATGTTCCTCTGCACTGGTGTCCCTTTCACAAGTCCTGCTTATTGCCGATGCCCAGAGCCCGAACTACCTGGGTACACTAGTGAACCAACAAGCCTTGGCATGGATGGCAGCACGGCAGAAAGTGTCGCTAGAAAACTTGCCCTCTTGACTCAAGGACTCCAAACCCCGAGCACCCAAAGAGCCTGGTAAGGCAGCGGTTCGGCATCCAGTACTGGAGCATCGGAAAGCCTGGAGGAACGGTGTTGCGAGGTCAGGCGACAGAAATCGGTTAAGCAAGCACCATGCACAGACTCAGCCATGTGAACACGGCGGCTTCTTCATACATTTCCGAAGTACTGCAACGCACGGTAAGGGATGGCCTACGGCGCCGTGAAAAACAGGCTGATGCATCCCAAGGCGCTGCGCTGCCACGCGCCACATCAGCGCAGCAGAGGCATCAGTGCCGGGTGCCCTGGCAGAGCGACTGAATGGGAGCACGACTTCTCATCGACTAACTGCCACCAGCGCGATGATCGGCATTATTACAGCAACAGCCTCAACATCACTGTTAGACACTTTTCTGTTTCATTGCTGATGCTACTCGTCTGAGGATCGCTGCTGGGGTCTGTAGACGTAGATACTAGCAACAGTTCAAGTATCGGTGTGGGTGTTGGTGTCGGCCAAGTCATTGGCATCGCGACCGCGCGACATCATGAGTAGTCTGTATTGGGTGCCTCTTGAAGCTTCACTTTCAAACCCCTGGACAGCATAAACCCCTAAACCCCTAACCCCTAAACCCTAAACCCTAAACCCTAAAAACCCAGACCAAAATCCTTATTCCTACGCTCCGAATAGCGAGCTTAAAGCCACGACTTGACTTGGGGCCTGGTGGCCACGGAATCAAGGCAGGCAGCCCAGTCCGAGCGTGCCTTGTGCTGGGGCCCAGCGTGGCAAAAAAGATTGACATTCTTGAATTATTATTATTATTATTATTAATAATAATAATGACATTCTTGAATTGGCTCTTCTTCTTGCTCTTCTTCGATAATGAACAGGATGCAATGCCGCCCACGACGACAACAACGCTCAACGCTCAACGACGACGACGACGACGACGACGACGACGAAAACTACATGTAGCCGTTTCATTGACTTTATTGACATGTGTCTTGATCAGGGAAGCTTCTGAATACTATCTATGTGCTTCCTGCTTGGTTAAGACGCTGAGGATCGCCGGTTTCTGTGTTGCCTCTTCGCAGCAGCAGGCTGGTCCTCTCTGCCCCCGCAGCCGGGATGCGAAGACAACTTTTAGAGCCATCTCTGCAGTCGTCTCGTCGAGCTGCCGGATCATGTCCTGAACTTCCCGGCATCTCTCGGCAAAGCCCAAAATGCCAGATAGACCGAAGATCCTGATAACCCTGACTCGAGTCCTGGAGCACGGCTTCAGCACCTCCCCGGCAGAGGTGCTGCATGCTTGTAGAAAGTTGGGTTCGATTTGGACCACTACAAGCTAGTAGTGATGGTGTTCGGAAATATCATGACCCTATGCTGCTGGTCCTTCGGCGGCTTCTCTTCAAGTCCACAGCTGGCTTCACCGGGAACCCCCTCCCGGAAGCTACACGATCCACAGCCTGGCCTTTGTCTTCGCGCTGCTTGGCCAGCCAGCGCAAAAGGTAGGTCTGGCAGGCATCTCGAACCTGACAAAGGTCGGGTCCTATAGGATTTAGCCGTAGGGTTGAGGTCAAGCTTTAGGCTTTGTTCAGACCATGGGGCAGCTTGGGGTCGCAGGCTGTCCTTATGAGAAGATGAGAGTTGCACCTCGGCGCTGGCATCACGGAATCCGATTCGCACGATCTCGGCCGGCAGCTTTCCGGGATCCTCCCAGCATCGAACCCGGGCCCCCCCCGGTTGCATGGGCTCTGCATCCAAGCTGCCTCTCACCCTACATCCGACACCTCGAACCCCTAAACCCTAGAAGCTTGAACCCCTGAATCCACACCCGAAACCCTAAACCCCCAAACAACCCACACCCCAAAAAAACCTAGCCACTTCAACCCCCCGCGACGCCAGGGCGCCTGCTTCTCTAAGGCCTCAAAGAGTCGACAGCGGACGCGCGGGGCGGCGTCCAGGCATCGCCCTGCTGCCTCGGCAGAAGTGCACGTGACGTTCTACGGGTCGTGATAAGGCTAATGCTAAGAATATCTATGAATGATAAGAAAACAGAATGCTGGGGCCTACTAGCTTGCTAGCAGGTGGAAGAAGCACAAGAACCAACAGGTTGAAGACTAAAAATCTTCCGTGATCTTGTCCGGCCTCCTCGGCTGCACCCCTGTCGCCAAGGCTCAGAACTGCCGTTGCGCGGACCTGGAAGCTTTCAACGGAGGCCCAGAGTCTCTGAGGCCCTTAAGACGAAAGTCACCAAGAAAAAAAAGAATCCAAAATCGGGAGAGCACGGGAAAGTCGGTTTCATGAGACGCTGCCACCGAGCCACGGCAGGGGTGATATCGCGGCTGGCAAGATGTAGCAACGCAGCATGGAAATCCTCACCTGTGGGAGGCACAGCAAATCGGATTATCCTTGATGAATGTGCAGTCAGTGTGTGTGTGTGTGTGTGCGTGTGTGTGTGTGTGTATAGTACAGGTATAGGCAGAGGCATAGGCCCATAGGCCAGGCATAGGTATAGGTATTCACATGTACATGTGTATCTACATGTACATGTGCAAGTACATGTACGTGTACATACATGCATAAACCTGTATGTATCGGTATGCGTATATGTATATGTATCTGCATCTGCATGTGTATATATGTGACTGTGCCTTTGTGTAAAAGTGTGTATATATTATAGCAAACATGTAATTTGGTATGTCTAGATGCATGTACATATGCATGCATGTAGGAGTATGTCGAGTGTATGTATATACAGAGGTGTATATACATATATATATATATACACACACATACGCTTTTAATTTTGCGCTGTGTTTGTAGGTGGGGGGAGGATCATTGATGGTCTATTCGTTCTGAAAATATGTACGAACTGGGGTACAAGAAGCATGCGGAATCTCGAACAGCTCCCTCTCCAAATCTGGAGGTCCTCAACATTGAAGCCTCAACCCTTTAACCTCAAATCCTAAGCCTTAATCCTACAGCCTAGATGCTAGACCGTCAATAGAGTCCAAGGATAAACCAAGCATACTTCAACATGTAGAAGCTAAGTACAAATACCAAGAGAGATATCCAAAAGCTCATACTATTCTTGTTGTTAACATTCATGTGCCTTTGCATATATATATATATAATTTTATATAT